CAGGTCTGGTGTCAAGTAGATAAAAGATAATCACTTGAAATAAAGAAATTATCCAAAGTCCAGAACTTTCCCTGAGTAACACATTCCTATAACCAAATGCCTACTAGTCACCTCTTCATTAATATGTTGAAAGAACCTAAACATATCATATCTAATGAGTCATGGTCTTCCTCCCATCCTCCCACACATCCCCAAATAAAACAAATATATTTGGTCCCTTATCCAGACATAGGTTTCTTCGTTTCTTCCCTCAGTGCCTAACACCACCATTCCTCCAGGTATTTCAGAAATATCAGTAAGCCTGAAATCAAGAGACATCCAAGATACCTCTACTCTCATTACACATATCAAATAGACCACCAAGTCTCATTGGTTTATATCTTTAATTTTCATCAGTCCAAGTTGTCACCTCTTGCCTGGATTGCAATGAGGCCTAATTCACCTCTATCTCCCAACTATTATTACTTCAGATTGCTACCAGAATCATATTTGTTTAAAAACAAATGTGATGTCACTCCATTCCCTCTACCTCTACTATTCTACCCTATCCCACCCCCAACTTAAAATCCCTCAGTGGGTTAGTATAAAAAGGAACTCCTTACTTCACCTACTATTGATAAACCAACATCACATCCATCTTGTTTATTTCTATCCTGTTTCCCCAAAAATAAGACAGTGTCTTATATTAATTTTTCCTCCCAAAGTTGCGCTAGGTCTTATTTTCAGGGGATGTCTTATCTTTCCATGTGCTAGGTCTTATTTTCGGAGGATGTCTTATTTTCGGGGAAACACGGTATTACCATCACACACTGAGTCTTTCAGCCTGGTAAATAACATAAAATGTTATTAACACGTTCAATTTTATGTTAAATAACATGTAAATATTTCATGTTCCCTCCTGCCACAGGATCTTTCTAGTGCATTTTCCTTTCTTCCTCACCCAGATAACTTCTACTCATTCTTAGGAATTCTTAGTCCAATTGTGATAGCCTTCCCGGACCAGATCAAAGTCTACTATTTTATATTCTGATAGCTACATTTTCTTCTTCTGATTATATAATTAGTGTCTATCGCTCCCATTAGAATAGCTTCATGAAAAAAAATTTTTTATTTTACCCAAAACTGTAGTTCCAACAATGATTTACCATGCATTACACAAAACAAAAACTCAAATCTTTATTGTATAAATTGAATGAATTACAACAAATTTAAAAATATATACACATTATGGGAGACAGGTTCAAGAGCTATCTCTGGGGTGTAAAAATGAAGACTTTAATTATTAGATGTACAGAGTATTTCTGGTATGAGTAATGATGATACAACTAACTTAAATATGGGAAGAGCCCTGGTTTGTTTGGCTCAGTGGATAGAACCTCGGCCTGCGGACTAAAGGGTTGCTGGTTTGATTCTATTATAGTCAAGGGCACATGCCCACCCAGATTGCAGGCTCTATACACAGTAGGGGGCGTGCAGGAGGTAGCCAATCAATTCTCATCATTGATGTTTCTATCTCTCTCTCTCTCTCTCTCTCTCTCTCTCTCTCTCTCTCTCTTCCTTAAGTATGTATTAGAAGTGTAGGCTTGGGTAGTAAAAAAAAAAAAAAACCAATGTGAGTTTGAGATGTCTGAATAACATTCAAATCCAGACAATCAATAATTAATTAGTATTTATTCCAAAACTGATGGCAAAGTCTGAATTAAAATACAGATTAGAGTGTGTAACAATGTGTACAATAAGGAAGGAAAAGAAAAACCCTCAAAACAATGAGACTGAACAAAGAAAGTTCAGAGATAAGACTGAAACCAACTCAGAAGCTCCGAAACATTAGCATTTAAGGAAAAAGGCCACAAATGAGACAAAACTACAAGTAGATGGGAAAAAATAAAACATTATACAATAAAATACAAGAGTAAAAATGTTAGGGACAAAAACAGTTCCTTACATGTAATGAATTTCCAATCTGACGTTAAGTCAGATTGGAAATCACTGCCAGGTTTTAAACAATAGAATCTGAAAATATCTACTTTTTCTTTACTAATGTAAGAACTCTTTGATTCTAAATGAATGTCCTCACTTAGTGTTGAACTGTGCATTAGAATACAGAAAGAATTCCACTATAGCAAACTACCTTTGACTAAAAGAATAAGTTTGAGGAAGGAATCAAATAACACCAAGTGTCACCACCTAATTCATCCTACTCCTCCACTTTCCCAAACTTCCCGTTATACATCTTTAAACAAAAGAACACAGCAAGCCATTAGCCACACATTTTCTACATCCGTGCAAACCATCACTCCCTTGCCCAACACTCTACTCTGCCCCCCACAACGGAAAACAAAGCTTTTACTAGAAAGTTTCCTAAAGGAACGGGTGAGGGGGATGGGAAGGAAGGGCCGTCTTTCCTCAACTTGTTTTGCCTCCATCTATATACTGTCTGTCTCCTCATTAGACTCCAAGTTCTTCAAGGGCATTTGCTGTTTTTTAACTGTATACTTTCTCCACTAAACCACAAACTGAATCTTATCTACACCTTGCTTACCACTGCATCCCAAAATAGAAGCTGATACCTGATGAATGAATTACTCAGTTTAATATTCTTATAAATATCAGGATAGCTCAAAGCTTTTAGTAAATAAATGACCCAACTGAATCTGTGTCCCTAAACTTTTCAATGAAACACTTTTTATATATGTATATATATTTTTTATTAATTTTACACAGAGAGGAATTGAGAGGGACAGAGAGTTAGAAACGTCGATGAGAGAGAAACATCAACCAGCTGCCTCCTGCACACCCCCCACTGGGGATGTGCCCGCAACCAAGGCACATGCCCTTGACCTGAATCGAACCTGGGACCTTTCAGTCCGCAGGCCGACGCTCTATCCACTGAGCCAAACCGGTCCCAGCTGAAACACATTTTTAAAATCAGTCTTAAAAGGTAGCCATTGATGTCCAAACTTTTTTAAATGAGACTTGTGAATTACTTTCATCCATGACACTAGACCAACCTGTTTTATCATCAGAGTTACTAATTCTTCAGTATCTAAAATAAGTGAAATATGTGGGTAAGTCATTGTCTAGGGCTTTTGGTTGTTTAACTTGCTTCTCTATTAGTAGTTTCTTACTATAACAATTACAACTTCTCTAGAGAGAAAGCCTCAAACTTTGTGGAAATTTCCTAGCCTAAAACTAGTTTTAAAGGCTTCTAGGTCCTTAATAGCAATACACACATGGTTATCCAGTAGAGGAAATTTCCTCTCTGTAAACTCAGCCTGTCAGAAAGTAAATGCAAAGGAGTTAAGTTCTGGAACAAATTTAATGCTTATCCAGGGGCATTTTTTTTCTTTCAGCTAAAACTATATAAAATCATCCACACATAAACTTGATATAATAAAATGCATAGTGTCCCTCAAAATTATTTTGTAGTTTTAAAACCAAATCTTTAACAAGCAGCTCACAGACATTTCCACTCAGAAATTTGCAAATGCCCTGCAATGCTTACAAAAATAAAGGAATCATTATATTACTCTCACAAAATACCTGAATACAATGTTTTAAAATTTCTAAAACTAAAAATTTTTCCATTGTAAAATCATTTTTCTTTTGGACTCGATCTTGTACAATAAAAAAAAAAAAATAAACATTTTTAAGCAGTGGGGTGACTTATACACTTCACAACTGTTCTCTCTTCGTATAGTTACTGAAACTGAGATACACAATCCTGAGTCCTCCAAATGGGAACTTACTCTTTAACCGAAGATAGGAAGGAATCTGCTTTCTACTTGGGATCTTCACACGCTTTTACCACTTCTAAAAAAAGCAACTCTCCAGTTGAACTCTCTACCCTGAGGTACCCTTACATATTAAAAAAGCAAATGGGCCAAAGAGCCCCCTTAGATTCCTCCGATGATCACCAAGTCCGATCAGTACCTGTGGGCATTGCTGCAACAACATAAATCAAGTGTGCTCGGAGCCCTGTGACAACCTTATCCGCCTTCCCCAGGGGGGGGCTGGGGGGGGGGGTGAGAAACCGCACACGTAAAGGCAAAAGCCACACACACCGAAGACTCCGCTGCAAAAGAGCTCAATGGAAAGGGCTCTAAAACGCGAGCAGAAAAAGCACCAGGTCCGCCTGCCCTTAGGCGGAGGGTAAGCCGAAATGCCCCAGCCCAGGACCCGGAGGCGCCTACTAGTCACCTACTACCGTCCCTTCTGGGGCTGACGCAGAGCCCGCCGGCCCGCACGCGCCTGCGTCTCCGCCAGCAGCGCCGGGGAAGCCAGAACCGGGAGCCTCTCCGGGCTTCTCGCTCGCGACTAACACACGGGGCAGGAAGGTAGGTGAGCCAACCGCCTCGGCGAGGACCGAGGGCGAGCTCCACCCAGCCCTTCCCGCGAGGTGGAGGGAGGCAGCGAGGGCCGATTCTCTCTCTCGGAACCGTGTCCAGGGGCCGCCGCGCCGCGCCGCTCGCCTCGCCTCGCCTCCCGCCTCCTGACAAGCCGCGCGGGTGGCGGACGCACTAGCGCCCGTCCCCGGAGCCCGCTTCCCCACCGCAGACCCCGAGCGCACGCGGTTAAGGTCACCACCCACCCACGCCCTCCCAGACCACGCCCGGCGCTCCTCGGGGGCCAAGGACAAGTGCCAGGCGCGGGCAGCGGCGCGGGCAGCACCAGGAGGCGCCCCCGCGGGACCGCAAGATGGCGGCGGCGGCGGCAGAGCCGGGCCCCTCCGCCTTCTCCCGGGCCGGAGCGCGCACCGAGATGCGGGCGGGCAGGAGAGGGACAGGGACAGGGACAGGGACAGGGCCCCGGGCGCGGGGCAGGCCGGCCGAGCGCCGGAGCGAGGTTCCGCCCGAGGATGGAAGCGCCGGGGCGTGGGGGGAGGGGTCGCCCGCCGGGGCCCCGGCCGCAGACATTCCCTCCACGCCCATCATCCGCTCCCAATCCAGCCCCGCCGCCCGCCGCAGCCCGGGGTGGGGCTGCCCGCTTCCCGGCCTTACCTTTGAATTTGAGGTCTGTGGGAGGGTCGAGGACCAGGATCTGCTCGTGCTTCGCCATGGCCCCAGAGGCGGACGCCATCGGAGAGACAGCGCAGAGCGGGGGCGCGCCCGCGGCGGCGGCGGCGGCTTGCTGGCTGGCTGGCCGGCTGGCTGGGGACGATGGCGGCGACGGCTCGGTGCCGAGCTCTACGCTGGGGTCAGCTCACGGCTCCCGCAGCCCAACGCCTGCCGCTAAGGGGCCGGTGGTTGGGCAGCCCGCTGGTCCAGCAGCTCGGGGTCTCACAACTGACTCAACCCCACACCAGCCGCCCGGCCACGCGCACTGCGATCCTCAGTGCCCCACGTGATGACTCCTTGCGTGCCGACGTGCGCGCCCCCGCGGCCAGGAGCCCCTAGCGCACGCCCCGCCCTCGCGTCCTGGCCTACGGGGCGCGGGCTGGTGCGCCTGCGCGCTCCCGGCCTCACCGCCGCTAGGAATACTCTTTCCCCCCCCCCCCAGCTGTCAAGGGAACGGGTGTGGGCAGAGGGCGGAGCTAAGCTCCTGGGGACCGACGCGGTGAGCACCGCAGAGCTAAGGGGCCACAATCCTCGGTCGCGTTTTAGCTCCTCTTAAGAAGCTGGGGAACTCGCCGTGGCAATACAACGCCATCTTCCAAGTGGGAATGCCTAATAAAAGGAAGTAGTTAGACTCATTCACAACTCCCAGCATGCTCCACGCGGGGGCGGAGCCTCTGCCCAGGGCCTGGTCCCTTTGCGGCACGGCGCGGTGCTTGCTGGGAGTTGTAGTAGTGGTTGGTTGTGGGCGGGAAAGAGACCTAGATCCGTTGGAGGCGTGTGGGGTGGGGCGCGCTGACACTCCTTTTGGCCCTGGAGAGCGTCTCTGGTTTGCGCTAAAAATAAATAAATAACTTGGAGACTGATCCGAGGTCCCCTAGTAAGAAATTTAAAAAAAAAAAAACATTCTCTGTGGAAATCACGCCGGGATTTTTCGGTTTGTTCTTTGATTCTATCTGTCCCTCTATTTGTAGAAGTAAATTCTCTGTCGTATTCCAATCCAACCTCTCCTGCTTCCTGAAAAAAAGATGAGGAAACACATCTCGTTTAAGGAGCAAACACGCCGGTAGGGAAATCTGATAAGCTAGAAATAAAAGTCAAAATCTACAGCATTCAGTTGCTGTAGTCTGTTCTCCGTTTTGGTGAATGATAAGCCCAAACCAAAACAGTTGTGTCGTTCACATTAGAAATGAATTCCATCTGCATCGTTTACGGGAGCATGTAACAAACTGAAAAAATCCCAGCAGCAAAGTTGCTGACAAATCTTTAACCGATTGACAAGGTAATCGGGGACAGGAACATTCAATGAAAAAAAAAAAAAATTGCACATGCTGTAAAGAAACCTTTATAGTAATACCCGGATTTAAATCCCTAGAAGCACCACGAAACAGGATATATTGGTGCTGCTGCCATAAAAGAGCAGCCCAGTTTTTCTGGAAAATAAATGAGACAAATGGAACAGTAGTCTGGGTGTATATCTGGGAATAGCCCTCCGGAATAGCTAACCTAGCATTCATAGAAGACTGCTACACAAGAGTCATGTATCTTCAGCCATGAAAAACCTCGGATGATAGGAGCGCTTAAATCATTTGAAAAGCATATTCTAAGTGTATCTTTACTTTGATTTCTTTTTATTCACAAATTTATTTTGGAATTTCAATGATTATTAAGAGTATACAAAAATTGTATGTTTATAAAGAAGGAGTTTAGGATTTTTTTAAAGTTGAGTTTGACATTCAGGCACAGGATGGTGTCCCATATATGTGTAATTATGAACTGGCAACCCTAAAAATAACACAAACTACCTTTTTTTTTTTTTTCCTTGCCTAAGAACTCTTATCCATGGGCAAGTTAGCCTGGGCTGAACTGGCTCTGGCTTCTCCACAGCTAGATGGACACTTCATAAGGAAATCTCCATTCTCACACAGCCAATTCACAGGTATAACATACTGAGAAAGATCCCAGTCACTCTTTTATGGGACAATGGCTGCCCATTCACCCTGAATTCAATAGGAAGCTGAAATGGGATGTATTCCAGTTTCCACTCTATGTGTCATTAAGAAACATCTGCTGATGTAAGCTGTGACCTTTGGAATCAATTGTTTTTTTCTCTTCGCAATATTGCTTCAAAAATCATATAGGCATAATCTTAATGTGGCTATGAATTTAAATATGTGGTAGTCTACTAGTAAGAATACATGAAATGATTTTTGGAATAATTCTCCTATTCTATTTGAGAGCACTGCATTAATAATGACTCAGAGCCCTCCTGAATCATCCACCCCTCATTAAATAGTGGTTTGTGCTTGGGTGTTTATTAATACCTTTCTTCTAACAGTTCAAAGAACTTTATAAACATTATCACATGCTACTCAGAACAACCTTATAACAGCAAGTGTTATTTTTATTGTTAAATATGAAAATAAAAACACAGGTGAGAGCATCTTATGTCAGGAATAGAGCTAAACTCTGGGGAGAAACTCACCCAGTTTTTCATTCTGTGCATTTGTGTCCTTTCTAAAGCCACAATAAAATGGCAAGAGTGATTAAGGAAACAATTTACAATGTAATTGACTTCTCTATGGTTTAAAAGTTAAACTTGGAATAAAGAAATAAGGGGCCCAATGCTCATTTTTGTATTGATTAATGCAGCATATAGTGGTCTCTGATATATTAGCATGAAAACACATACTCAAACATATTTCTCTAGATTCAAGTTTTCCTGAATCTAAGAGACATGAAGGCCTTGAATATTATTTCAACCTACTTGATTACTAATAGTAGTCACCTTTGGACAAATTATCTCTAATAGCTTTGGCAAAGATAAAAAACATACTTGTTTTCAGTACAAATGGTAACAAAGTATACCTTGTCCAATAGTAATGTTTAACATGTCTAAAACATTGAGGTTCTCTATATTTATGAATACATTTTTGATCAGTTCTCTGCATAATTCAGTTCAGTAAACATTTATTTCTTTAATGTTTTTATTAATTTGAGAGAGAAGGGAAAAGGATAGATAGAAATATCAATGAAGAAGAAACATTTTTTAAAAATATATTTTTATTGATTTCAGAGAGGAAGGGAGAGGGAAAGAGAGAGAAACATCAAAGATGAGAGAATCATTGACCAGCTGTCTCCTGCATTCCTTGTATTGGGGATCGAGCCTGCAACCCAACCCTTTAGTTCACAGGCTGAAGCTCTATCCACTGAACCAAAGTGGCATACTTTCAAAAAATATTGAGGCAGTAAATGAGTACAAACTTTTTTTTCTGAACTGCTGGATTCAAATCCTGTTCTCCACTATGTGGTCTTTGCCACTTATTTCACTACTCTGTGGTTGTTCTATGTTGCCAGGGCTGACCGGCAGACCTAAGTGATGGATGAACAGATTTCTCTGACATACAATTCTGTGAGAGGGCTAAGGGACTGTTTTACTTTAGAAGTAAAAAGCAGTCCTGTTCGCCTACCCTCTTAAGCTTTTATTGTCACAACAGCTTGAACTAAAATTAACCTCTAGAAACAATTAGCAAGGTACTTGAGGAAGAGTATGCTTCCACAAGGTCAGGTCTTTAAAGACTAAACATAGACACTAGCAAAACGGGGCATCGGAATTGTTTGGAAAAGTCTAGGTAGGGGCTGCTGCCTTCGGCAAGATCCCTCAGAGGCCTCTGACCTTTCAGAGATCCCTCCATCTAGACCTTCCAACCACACTCCATCTGTCAATTGGGGTGAATAATACCTATATCTGAGGTTTCTTTAAAAAATTAAATTATTTACTCTGCAGGAAGAGCTTAAACTAGTGCATGGTTCCAGGACTGTTACCTTATTAATGTTAAATTATTGCTACGTGCCCGGCGATAAACCAAGAGACATGGTTCCAGCCCTTAAAAAGCTTACATTCAAACAGGAGAGGCAAACATGAATGCTCTTCTGCATTCAGGATTCTGTTCTTGAAATAAGTTCAACCAGTGAATTACACTCATGTGATGTTGGAAAGTTCTACGTGAGAGGGAGGGGACCGGTGTTCTGTGCCTTCTAGCTGCTTTCCTGCTGAGGCAGGAGCACAGAGATGGAGGCTTACTGCTCAGCATTCCAGCACCCATGTACTAGTACTAGTACTAGTACTAGTACTAGTACTAGTACTAGTACTAGCTTCCTGGATAGCAAGAGGCAGTGAGTTGCTGCAGAGTCAACAGAAGCATGGTTCCTTCTGGAGTCCAGCTTCCTGTTCCTTGGGTCAGAAGTAAGCAGTGCACCTCAAAGGTGGCAGCTGCCCTGCGGGTGCAGTTCAGTCTTGCCCTGGGAGGCATTCCTAGAAAGCCTGGTGTAGAGCCTGCTCTCCCACCCGCCCCAGCATTTACCAAGCACTTCATTTCCTTTGTTGTGTTGCTTCCTGCTTCTGATCATAGGGTGCTACAGAGAGACAAGTGTCAGGGAAGCCAAGAGTGGGTCAAGAAGGTGGTCAACGGTGTAGAAATCTACTGAATTGTGCTATAAAGTGAGGACTGGAAACCTTCCACCTGACAGAGGAACAGGATGCTGGAAGCAAAATCTAATTGAAACAGTCACTCCACACAAAGAGCTCTTTCTCAAACGGATGGATGTGCTAGAGAGTGATAGCCAACTGAAATGCGCACAAGGTCAGTGCATATTAGAGGGAGGCAATACTTGTATCAACATTGTTGTGTTGATGTGCTTATTGTAGCATTTTTGTCAAACTTCTGTGAGAAATATAAATTCCAAGACAAGGCGGATGGAAGCTTCGCCAGATAAAATCAAGTCTGAAAGAAGAAGAATTAGAAAAAGACTTATTCTGGGGATGTTTGTTTATATGACCACTTAAAGCAGGTAAAGTATAAATGAATGACCTTTGTATATGAAAAATAATTTGAATAATATGTGTTTTCTCAATCTTATATACTGTGAAAGCAATACCTGCTTATTGTAACTAGTGACACAATCCAAAAGCAAATGAATTAAGTTTCCTCTTACACTTCCCGACTTCCACTCCACTGAGGATAA